GCTGTGGAATCGTCTGCTAGAGCCCTGCATCGATAAGTACGAGTGGAATGCTGATACCCCAGTGTCAGTTTGCACACTTACTGATAAGGAATACTCCAAAGATTGAGCTTATCCAGCCAGTCAATACAAAGAATGTTCAGCCCTGGCTGATTAATGATGTAACATACAGAGTCAAACGTTTGTTCATTATAAGTTACTAAACGACCTAACTCACCAACCAATCCGAGGTGCAGTTTGTTGCATGGACAAAACTGGAGGACATCCGATGGCTTCCCAAATGGATTGTGAAATGATGGTGACGTCCGATCCAGTGTCTAATTGAAGAGTTGCGAGATACCCCTTAACATTCACTGTTAGGTAGCGCCTTCGCGATATCGCGTTGACTTGAAGGGTAGTAACAATGCTGCGGCTAGCCTTCTTCTGTGGTGGCTTCGAAGGTCGTTTTTTGGACTTGTCAGTTTTAGTCGAGTTGTGTGGCTTTCAGAAACCATCTTTGTGACCTAAACGTTGACATTGGTTACTCCGATGTCGGCAAAAAGTGCACTGTGATGCGTAGTGCCATGCGCCACAGTTCCAATAAGCTGTGGGCGGCTTTTTGGACTCATGTGGTTTTGATATGATCAGTTTAACATCCGTCACCTTGATCTGCCGCTGTTCCACCATACTGGAATCATGCTTCAGGTTAACCAGGCGTTAACAGTCCTCGACCATTTCCGGCAGCGTGATGTCTGGGTCTTGTTCCAGCTTGGTGAGAAGTCGTGTGCGGATGTCCGCTTCTGACGGAGACTGTAGACCACAGATGAACATCAGACACTAGAACTGTGTCTCTGTCATGGATGCCAGTTTAAAGCGTTCGCACTCGCGGCTGACCAGGCCTGCATAGGTAATCTAGTCATCCATGGAGTGTTTGACAAGTTTTAAACAGTGATAGCATGTGTTGAAGAGTGAGGAATGTTTGCCAAAGATCTGAGTGAGACACTGCACCGTGTCATGGAATGAAAAATCACCTGGGTGTTTTGGCAAAATGTAATTTACAAAACGGTCGTGTTCCGTGGCCCCCAATTTACGGAGCAGTCTTCCTGATCGCCATGAATCCTTCTTGTCACCAAACTCAACCCGAAACATGTCCTCATACTCTTGGACCAGGACTCAAATGCAACACTAGATGAAACGTCATGTTGGAAAAACTAATTTGTAGACACAATCGACTGCAAATTGGTTTGTTCATCATGCGGCGCTTTGTCCTTGGAAATCATCAAGAGGTTACGAGTCAGAGTATCGAATAGACGGAGTTGAGCCGCTTCGAACTGCGTCTGCAGTTATTGAAGAATCGCACGGAGATCGTCTGCTGAGATTGCCAATTCCTTCTCCAGTTGATATGATCTGAACTATCCCAAGTAGGTGGATAAAAGACTAGATCATGGATATGACCAGGTAATATTGATACAAGGAGATCAAGAGTAAAAAGTCTACATGTGTCTCGTAGCGACTGTTATACGGGTCATGAATGATAAACTCACTGCCGATTGGCTGGGCAGGGGCACAATGTGATTGGATCGGGGGATAGCTGGGGTTGGGTAATGTGCAGCATTTGGGTTAGACTTCCTTATATGACAGAAACCACCACGTATTTGTTGCAATTGTGGTGAGTGGCATTTTTCCAGAAACCGTTTATCAAACACCAGTGCACCGTCTGCCACAAGAAATGCCATAACGAAAGGCACTATCGATCAAACACATGGTGTCCTCATCGTGGGATCTATCAAAACCGTTCCGACAACACGGATAATACATTACTATATACTGTGTCATCTGTACGCTGTAACGGCGCCCGCTGCCACGCGGTTACCACCAGTCGCGCGCGGGCTGAGTATACCACGAGGACGCCCACCCCAGCGCGTATTCAAACCGGTGACTTTATGATTGCAAACCAGACGCGCAGACCATTCGGCCAACGGCTGATTAACAACGCGGAAGCAAATGGGAGTCTGTTACATGAACTATCCTCTGAACTTGGCAATTATTTTGTAAACGTTTCGTCGCCAGTCGAGATGACATCATCAGTGCGTTGGTGCGTAGTGCAGCGTAGTATAAGCGATGCGTAGGTAAGTGTGAACCGGGTAGTCACGCGCGTCGACTTTATAGGTCATCGTCATCTGCCGTCCGTCGCAACGAGACTGGACCTTAACGTGGTGCAACGGTTTGCGTACCTCATTGACCCATTGAGCTATACTGGGTGATGCCTTCGAGCATCTTGAGAGCTACTCCTACCAGGTTGGTCAATGGTGAGAGGTCAGACAAACTCAGTCTCCTGGTTCTCCAGGTTGGGGGTTTGAAATGGGATGGCGTCCATTTCTGTAAAACTAAATCATTGCCACTCCGCTGCCTTGCGGACAGGCTTTTGAGCCAAAGGCTTTGGATGAGGACCCTAATCGTTCTCCTGTCTAGGTCTGGGCGCCCTGGCAGTATCCCAGCCCGCATACAACCATGACATTTTCTTCAAACATAAACTTCATCCTGCATCGGCCGTCGCGCAGATTATCAAGCGTCGCCTTATCTGCTGCATACAGCAGGGCGGATAAGCGAAAGCATGCTACTGCTGGCGCCTCCCTTCTTTCTTTTCCACCTTTTTCTCTTATTCCCATCCCGGCCCCCATTACTAAGCTTCCTTCTATAATTCCCAGCTTAATTGACAGCAACCGAAGTGCTACTGGAGTAGAACCATCTGCAGCCACCATCCCACAGCACCTATCGGACGCCTATCGGCAAAAGTTCCTTATAAGGCCACGCTGTCCCGTTTCCATGGCGATATTCAACGTTCTTACTCCAAGACAACTCGGGCAATAGGCTGCACTCGCACGCACCTTGGACACACTGGGTGTTGATGTGTGTTGTGTGTCCGAAACTAGGATTAAGGACCCTAACGGGGTTATTGAATTGACTGTACCCGGCTTATCCTCTCGTTATTGGTTGCACGCATCCGGAGACGCCGATGCGGCACTCACGGGTCAAGCTGGTGTAGGTATCATTCTCAGCTCCAAGGCTGAGTCATCGCTGGTTGATTGGATTCCGGTGAACAGCCGTTTATGTGCAGCCCGTTTGACGACATCAGCTAAGGTGAATTCCCGAAGTAAAACAAAACGCTGTTTGTTTGTGCTTTCTGCTTATGCTCCCACGGACTGCAGTTCTAATGCAGTCAAGGACACTTTCTATCACGAACTGAACACGCTGCTACGCAGTGCTACTAGTTCAGATATTATAGTACTTGCAGGGGATATGAACGTACAAGTAGGGCGTCTGAGCACTTCAGAAGCTCAGCTGGGTGGTAAGTATGGACTTAACGCCGAACGGACTGACAACGGCGAGCGTCTGCTGCAACTGTGTGCGGAGCACCAGTTGTTTCTTACTAGCACTGCTTTTAGACACAGTGGGCGCGGAAGTGCCACTTGGCGTCCACCTGTAGCTGGTCAGCGATGGACCCAAATTGACCACATAGCCATAAGTTACAGGTGGCGCGGTTCCATTCTGGATTGCCGCTCGTACTGGAGTACCTGTGTCGACTCTGACCATGCCTTGGTGCGCTGTCGTTTCTCCATGAACTTTACCGGAAGGCGCACAAAGAGTCTCCCCCGATTGGCAACTGAGAAATTGTCCTAGCCCTCGGTCAGGCAAGCCTATCAAGAAGCACTGCATAGCGAACTCTCGCTGTCTTGTTCTAATGATACTGAACTTCAGTGGAATAGGATCTCGGTCACTATGCACGACGCAGGAGCATCTGCTTGTGGCACTATCAGTCGTCATCGCGCCAGTCACTGGATATCCGAGAGGTCCGTGAACCTTTTGGATGCTAGAAGGCACCTCCCGGCTGGTTCTGAACACAATGTGACCAGACGGGCTATTAGGCGTGAACTAAAGCGGAGCCTACGTGCTGACAAGGAAGCCTGGTGGACCAGTCGGGCTCAAGAAATGAAGGAGGCAGGGGCAGTAGGCAATTACCGGAAGCTCTTCCAGCTAATACGCACCACTGGTCCGAGAAAACCAGGCGTCAGTGAGACAATCAGGGACAGTGCGGGTGCGCTGATACACAATAAGGAGCGCCGTATGGCTCGTTGGGCTGAGCACTTTGAACATCAGTTCAGCTGGCCCCCTGCTCCCGGACCTCTTCCTACTCAGGTGATGCAGGACGAGCCATGGACGGTTAGTTTAGAGCCTCCGTCGAAGGCCGAGGTCCGAAACGCTATCACAGCCCTCAATCGTTTTCGTGCCGCTGGCCTGGATTCCCTA